CTCTTTAACTTTATCTTCCCAAACTCTTTATTTAAAACCTCATCATTAGAAAACATAAAGCAATACTTATTCCTTTTTTTAATAAACTTAGAATTAATTATATGAATTCACCATTGTTACCATGAAACACATTCATAGTATGTGGAGGTTAAACTGAATATTGCCGGGACATAGCTAAAGAGGAAGAACATGTTGAATACAAAATCTCAATTAATATATGTGTGCTTTTAAACAAAATGTTAACAAGCAAGCACGACACTTGGATTCAAATACTTTTTACCATCTACGGGCCTGTTTCGCATACCTATATCCTGATCAAAATCAGTCACATAGAAACGAACAAAAAATAACAGATACTTTTTGTGTGTGTGTGTGTAAATTATGTCCAACTTAGTCACATCACAATGAAAAAGAACAAAAATTAATACACGCTCGAAAAATTAAGCGTGTAAATCATTTGCGTCTAAGTCACGTCATAATGACAAATAACAAAAAAGTAAAAATGGCTAGAAATTTTATGTGTAAATCATTTGCAAAACAACAAAAGATGACAAATAACAATAAACCAGAAAAATTTGTGTGTGTAAATCAGTTGCAACCAAGTCACCCCACAACAAATAATAACACTCGAACATTTATGATTGTGAATCACTTGGTATTTCAAGATGTGGTCAGTTTTCTCTTCTAACATTTATTGGGTTAATTAATTAAAATTAATAAAGGGATATAGAAACTTAAAGACAAAGGTGAACAATGGATAATAAAGCAAACATCGGGATTGCTCCTCGAGGATCCTTTTAGATCAAGAAAAGGATAAGGTAGAGAAAGAAGTTTCTACCTCACTTTCACTTTTTTAAATCAAATATATTTTGTATTCTCTTTTGAAACAAAAGGTACAAGTTTTTGATGTTAACCAAGTATAAAGAATCTCTTTAGTTTTTGCACATCACTAAATGGATTCTAAAAGCAATCTCTTTAATGTGCAAGTGTGTAAAAATTATAGTAAATAAAATCCAATAATATTTGTGACATTTGCCACCTTGCACTCAACAAATGTGGTTTATTTTTATCATGGAAATTTAAAAAAAATTAAGATTCGTCTTAGCCCCCGTTTGGCTCCCATTATTTGAATTTATAATGGGGGGAATAGTATTTATTGAAAAATGGATGGTTTTAAAAGAAAGAAAAAATGTTTTTAATTTGCGTGTAATATTGTTACGTCTCCATGTCAACTTTTTGAAGAAAATTTGTACAACTCAAGTAGAGTACTCGATGGGCTTGAGTAGCCATTTTCTTTTATATTGGGCTTCCAATTGTGGGTTGTTCGTGCACCATTGCATGATTTTCCTTGGATTGGACAATTAATTTAGTGGTCCAAAATCGAGTATTTTTGTTGATGGACCAGGAATTCAATTTGTCGTAGATACCAGTCCGTTTTATTGTTTTTTGCTGAAAAAGGGGGAAACAACAAGTGGTAGCTTTGGGACAAATTTTTTGGTGGTTTGGAAATGGTGGTGGTGGTTTGGAAATGGTACTGCTGTGATAGCGATGACGATAAGAAGGTGAGGGTGGCTGTGATGGTAGTAGTGGTGCGATAGCGCTGGTGACGATGGTATGTGACCACTATTTGATATATGTGACCACCTATTTAGTTATCTTTGACCAACTGGTTAATTGTAACCTAAAATTTTGATAATCCGTGACTTGTAATTTTTTGATTTATGATTTCGAAATAATCTGTGACTTATAAAATTTCTGATTTATGACCTCAAAGTAATCCGTGACTAATTAATTTGATGATATGTAATTTATAATTATGTACCTGTGATCATTAATTTTATATTTGTAACTTTATTATATTTAATTAATAAATATTTTGAATTAAGTAAATATATATATGAATTTTGAATTTTCAAATTATTTACCTAATTTTTGAATTGGTGTAAATAATACACCTAATATATGAATTTTCCCACTTTTATTTCCAGAGATGAAGAATTTTCGGCCCTAAGGCACGTTGTATAATCACTTTTATGAAGACGTTAGTTTCCTCCACTATAAAGGTGATGCATATGAAAGTATATATGCTTTTAGAATATAATGGAACCGGATACATTATTTGTAACATAAACTAACGAAAATGACCTGAACATCAATGAAAGAAATAGTCGTATACTTCAGATTTATATTTCGTCTTTCAGAAATGACAGAATATAAATAGATTTGGGAACCTTTTTATTCATGAATAATGCTATTTGCAGTCGCTCACTGCGACAGTCGCCCTACGTGACATACACATGGCAGGTGATTATTTGATGCATTAATGAATAAAAAAATTTACCACATTAATGTATCAAATAATCTACCACATTAATGCATCAAATAATCACCAGCCATGTGTATGCCACGTATGGCGACTCTTTTTTCATACATAGTAAATTCAAAGATGTTGAATATTTCTATAAACATTTCTTAAATGCCCTTCAGTCTTCACAATCATGGATCGGTACCTTTTAGTTTGAAAATCACAAAAAAATAAAATAAAATAATAAAAAAATAAAAATTAAATTGAAAATAAACAATTTTAACATAGTAAAAATGTCACGAATGTTAACCAAGGTGACATGATAGATAAGCTTTGAACTAATAACCTTATGTGACTAACCTTAAACACTTCACTTTGGTTTCATATAAAAGAGTTAATTGTTCCAATTGTCATTGAACTTAGATTCATGTTTTTGATTAGTCACTGAAATTTAAAATGCCGAGTATTGGTTATTGAACTTAAGTCCATGTTTTCAATTGCTCACTGAAGTTTAAAATGTCGAGTTTTGACCATTGAACTTTGAAAAATATTGTACACTACTCACTGAATTTTGAAAAATATTGTACATTACTTATTGAACTTTGAAAAATGTTGTACATTACTCACTATAAAGTGTAAATTCGATATTTTTCAAATTTCAACAGTTATGCTAGTGAGTAACGTACGACATATTCCAAAATTTAGTGGTCAAAATCCGTTCTTTTAAATTTCAGTGAGCAATTTAAGATATAGATTTAAGTTTAGTGAGCAATCGAAGACATTGACTTAAGTTTAGTGACCAAAACTCAACATTTTAAATTTCAGTGACCAATCAAAGACATGAATTTAAGTTCAGTGACCGTTTGAACAATTAACTCCATGTAAAATGATATGTGAATAGGCCATGTGTTATTTATCTCATATTTTCATAAATGTTATAAATAGTTAACCAAATTACTTTAGAGACATCGCTCTCTCTAATCATATATGTGAACTTATCAAGAATACACATTTAAATACATAATTCCATAGACATTTATATAAATCAATTAAAAGTTAAACATAACATGACCTTTCTCTTATTACGTGTCCCAAACAATTCTTGCTTCAGGACAATAAGTATAGTCATTGTAACTTCTCATGTAATGTTTTTTGCTCTTGAACTCAAGATTTTGATGATTCGAGCGTTGTGTTGAGGTTTAATTGTTTTGATAAAAAGTTGGGGCTTTTGCCCCATTCCTCCTTTGACATTACTTTTCAATTAATTCCTTGCAAAAACCATTTATCATATGTTCTCATGTAGTATTACCTATATATAATTTTACTTTAATATCAAAAGACTCGATTCTTCATATAATTATCTCGAACATAGAAAATTAGGCACCAACGTACTCTTTATCACTTTAATCAACTAGCCTTATCAATTAATTTTATTGCATTTGATGTTACTTATCGAATGTCAGTTAAGTCACAATCGACTCTATGGCTACTTCTTTTCCAAAAATACTCTCTTGGCGAAGAAACTGTTTCTAAACATCAGACATTGATTTCTTTATCCGAATAGATTGTCTCTCTCTTGATTATGTTTACAAAAATAACTTAATTACAATGGAGTACGAATAAGAGATGTTATATAAACAAGATCATTTTAAAAATATTTTGTATATCGAAACTCCATCTATCATCGAATAGAATACAAAATTCAAATAAACACTTAACTGCACTTAACTATAATCAGGCTTATTTTGACTAGCCTCATTTTTTCGTCGACTCAATGTAAGGTCCGTGCCAAAATAAATTGAATTCCCGGTCCCGTGAATGGCGGGCGGCCAATTTATTGCCATTTCTATCCCTTTCGACGATTGACTGAACTGGAAGCATACGCCACAGCAGATCGAGTCCTTTCGCTTTCTAAGTAGAGAGCCAATCATAAAATCACACTTAGGGAAAATATATTCAGAAATCTTGTAATATTTATTTCCCAGGATAGCTTCTCAAGTTCTTTAGATTATTATCTTAGATATTTGATCGTATAATATTATAAATAATATAAAATCTCTATTTTCAGTTAATTTTTACAATAATGCTTCTTGTACATTCTATGAATTGCATGGAATTTGACATCTTTTACAAATTCAAAATGTATTTGGCGGGAAAGTGTGTTGAATTTAAAAATTGTCTAATCATGTGCCGCCACGTAGAACAATGTCAAAGATGATGTAAAAGACAATGTACAAGTAGCATGGTCCTAATTTTTAACTCTAGGCTTGCAGCTCCTTTATCTTGTCGAATTATGCTCCTTGTACATTGTCGATGACAGTTTGGATTACATCTATTCAAATATTTGTGAAATTTTGGGAGGAAAATGGAAAAATGTCATCCAGAATTTCTTTCTTTCTTTCTTTAAAAAACTTTTCCAATTCAAGCCGCCATCCACATTGTACCTATGCGGGATTATCTTGTCTTGCCAAAAACTCTGAAAAATAATGATCCAGTGAAAATTGGATTTGTCTACACGTACACAATACCTTACATAATTGTTTACACTTGCTGAGCTGGCATCTTCCCCAGTCAAAAGTCAATTTCTCGCCAATTTAAATAAAAAAAAAAAATCAGATTTGTCTAAAGAAACCCTTCCCTCCATCACGTATCCTTCGACTTCATTTTAGAGGCAAAAAAAAAAAAAAAAAAAAAAATGGAAGATGAGGAGAACCTACAGTCACAATATTTGAAATATGAAGCCGACGAAATCGATGCCGGAAGATTCGATGCCGGTGAGTACAATGATTTGAGCCCAACACATTTTTCCCCATCAGTTGCAAGTGAGTCGTTTTCACAAGTGAGCGAAAATGAAAATAGGTACCCATTAGTCGAAGGTGATGACATCAACGCCGACGATCTTGAGGTCGACGAGATAGCAGCCGACGATTTTCATGGCAAAGAGAACGCAGGTACTCATTATTTTTTATTTTTAAAAATCTTATATTGTGCACATTCTCCCGTCATTTGCACTCTCCTGTCATTATTGAACTGAACAGTGACGAACACCCAAATATATTTTGTAGTCTCTAAGCATTTGTCAGGATCTGAAATGTGTAATTCATTTTAGTTCTTCAAACATTTATTTCCATTCAAAAGAAGAAAGGAAAAGAAAAACCCTCTTTTCATCTCTTTAGTTCAAAAAAGATAAACATAAAAAAAAAAAAAAAATGGAAGCTCTCTCAAATTCCAAGTTGTTCTTGCTCTGTGCATTGTTGATTTCAGTTGTACAGTCCATACATTGCAGTGTTACTTATGACAGGAAATCTCTTATTATTGAATTAATGGCCAAAGAAGAATTCTTTTATCTGGCTCCATTGT